TTTGTAACCGAGAAAAAATTGTGCTGTTTAACGCTTCTGCAAAAAAATTATGAATTTCGAAAGCGACAATTTCATCAAATTTGGCCTTTTCTACTGTAGACTCGAAATTCATAACTTTTCCAGATATGTCCAAACAGCACAAATTTTACAAAGAGCATGTCATGAAACCCTCCATACTGACGTCCTCAAATTTTTTTGCAACTTCCCAGACTTTTGACGACCTAACTTGAAATAATCGAAGTGGATTGGCATTCTTTCTCCACTTTTATCTCTGCAGAGTGTATATCAGAAGCTTCTAAGGTGCTGCTACAAAGACGAAGACTTCTTCTTTCTAATTAGGTTGAAGCAAATCCGTCGAAAAGCGACCAGTTACAAATTTCCAAAAGTGAAACGACATTACTTTGAGACAACCTAGTAAATTCTGTTAGATTAGCTTACGCTCAATGCTACTGAAGAGCCCAAAAGCTCTTCTTGGAAAGTCCAGCTGTTGTTGCCACATCGAAGAGGAGAACTGGTAAGCTGATGGGACATCGAACGTTAGAAATTCGAGCTGAAATTCTGGAATAGAATTTTAGTCAAAAAAGGCAGATGTACCTTGAGGGTCTGGTCAGTGGTGGAAGTATTATCAGATCCGATACCATCCAATCTCCATGAGCAGTCCATATTTGGAGGGTAAAATCCGCCGTAGTTCGGACTTTCTATAAAACCAGCAAATTCCCAATCCTTTTCAGTGTTAGTTATATCGCCACCACAACGTCGATCAGCTGGAAACAAAGGAGTTGAATACAAAATCCACAATGGGTGAGGGGGAACTTACGTTCGAATGTTTTATATTTCATAGTGAATCCACGATGTAGAGGGCTTTTCGAACCTCCAAAGACATTACTTCGGAAAGATACGGTTAGGAATGGTCCTGTCGATCGGACCTGCAAAACAAATATTTTTATAAAACGTATTTCAAATAGTTTGGGCCTTTTTGCACACATACCGTATGCTACCGTAACCCCGTGCGACCCTCGGGCAAAAATAGTATCGCGCACTTTACAGCAGTTAAAAAAAGCCTGCACCGACATTTCATACAAGCATTAGCACAAATATTTTCCTTTTACTGCTAAAGCAGGTTACGGTAGCTTACTTTATTTATGGTGCAAAACGGCCGTCTCCCTCAGAACTTACCACAGTTGTTTGATTAGTTGTTTCGCAAATATGAACAATTCTATGAGCATCATAAGATGTGTATCCGTCAAAGACCTATAATTTCGAGAGAAATTTCTCTTTGAAAAGTTTCCGTAGAAGCGACTGAAACAAAAATTTGAGTTGCCCAGCTGACCTCCAACTCATTGACAGAACAATTCAACTGCAGTCCTGTGGTCATTTCTACAGTGGGAATTTCAATTTCGATGTGTTTCTCCATCGGTGCAGATATGAACCAGTCACAAGCTGTATCCATATGATGAGGAGGTACAACAAGTGTACCTGTGGCCAGGTTAGTACGGTAACCACATTCTGAAAAGCATGAACATCTAACAGAAAAGCAGGCAGTGATAAAAAAAATTAAAACATGCAAAAAACCGCGAAAGAATGCAGAAAATTCCTTCGGTCGAAAAAAGCTGGCCTTTGGGAATGAAAGGGGTGAAGGGGACGGGAGGGGAGGGGAGTGAGTATCACAAACCTCTCTTCTTTGTAGCCCATTTGAGTGAAAACGATCCTTTTGTTCCTTTGAAACGAAGCAGTGCATTCGAAGTTGTCATCGTTATCGGTTCACCAATCACAGGCGCCTAAAAAATACGGTAAATGTGGGCGGGGCAAGTTACGGTAACCTAGCGTCGTTACCTTTCCGCTACCGACATCACCGCAGAATGTGGCAAAAACTTGAGCATTATCGCCAGCGCCATCGTACAGTGTTAGGTTTGCTGGCATTTTGGAGCAGTCTAGAGCAGATGAGTCAGCGCCCATGCCTTTGAAAGCTTCAAATGTGATTTGGAGGGCCTGAAAAGGAGATAAGCAACTATTATAGAAGCGCTATGAAAAAATAACTATCAATAAAACTATCAATATTCAATATCACATGCTCTTCACAAAAAAAAAACTTAAAATTGAGAAGCCGGTTGTGGCGTTCTAATTTCTCCACGCTTCCGAGCAAAACCGAATGGGATAACCTTGATGCGCGCGTATGCGCTGCGTATGGGCGGCGCAGAGATTGGGCGAGTTTTCCCCACTGTAGTGTTCAGAATAGCCGTAGTCGCGCTTAGGAGTTTACAAATCTTCTATTGATTGTTTTTTTCTTGTAATTTTCTCTCATAAAATATGCATGAAAAAGAGAGCCAAGTTGCAAAAAATAGAAAGATGAGAAAATAACAGTATGAGTTACTGTAGGGATACTGTAGCAATGACGTAGGCGCGCTTGTTCTGCATTACGACTTAGTGTTTGTCACTGTTCGCTCTGGTAAATCACTATACCGAGTTATCTTCTCCAGTAGCAATGACAAAATCGCAACCGTCATCAGCCACACTTTCCGTCTCCGTCGAGAAGGTGAGATTTCCCGATGAATCCGTATAATGACCTCCACAAGCTGAAAAATGAAATTTTACTGAAACCGAATTATTTTCAGACCAAATAACTCACTGTTCTCTTCAAACTGGCAAAGGGAACCATAAAATCCAATAGGACAAACACAGTTAATTTTTCCAACACCAGCATCTTGGCAAATTCCACCATTTTCACAAGGTGAGCCGATGCATGCGGACACCTATAAAGACAAGCTTCCCTCAAACTTTCTAGCCCAGATCAAAATTGAAGAAAAACTTACCTGCTCGCAATGGAGTCCATAG